TGGGGTTACCACCCCTTTCAATGGCAATGACCCAATGTATAAACCACCCCTTAATATACATGGAATTAAAAACAGGTATCAATATGACTGCAAAGCTGCCCTGTGCTGCTCCTCTCTGTGCACTCCCTATGGGCAACCCTGCTCTGCAGGAGCAGTCATGGAGCAGTAACACTGTCACTTCGATAAAGCTGTTTTTTTCTACCCTACCACCAGCTAACCTTTGAATTATTTCTTGGTGAAACTAAGAACCCTCACAGGCTAAGCCCCACTTTGGAGATCTACTGCCCTGCATCACTAGGATTTTAGAGTATTCACTCCTCATGTACCCCTTAGAACCAGCCTCAGACTCACCAGATGCCACAATAATCCTTTACCCCAGTAGAACTTCCAGCAGGTCCACATGAACAAATGAGAATCTGGAATCCCCTTGAACTCAGAGCTGTGTGAATCCTTTGCTAAAATTATTCACCTGTAAATTAACTAAAGTTATAGTAGACCTCATACCTGCCCTTGAAAGTAATATTTCATGCTGAAATAACTTATCATTTAAGACATACATTTACTGAAAAATTACTAAGTTCATATGTAAGGGATTAAAAAAAACTGGACTTTAAAAAAAAAACACTGAGAGTGAACAGGTACATTCCAAATCACATCTGCCTCAAAAAGATACTGATTTTTCACCTCTCCTTCCATCTGATTTAAAAATAAATTTCACATTGATTTTAACAAATGTATCATTCTAGTGTGAGATGTTGATATTGAGGGAGGCTGTGACTGTGTGGGAAGTGGCATATGAAGGAACTATCTGTATTTTCCACTCAGGCTTGCTGTGAATCTAAAACTGCTAAAAAAGTAAAGTTTATTCATTAAAAAATAAACTCCAAAGATTTGAATGTTTTACATATTATTATGAAAAAAAAAGTTAAGACCTACTTAGAGGACATTTATTTTCCAAGACTGAGACAGGAATATAAAAGGAACCTCTGCTGTTAAAGATAATAGACTATTTCTTAAAATTGCATATATGAAGAAAGCTTCAAAGAGAGAACAGCTATGAATCACCAAGGATCTCTAATTTTATAAAGCACATTTGAGAATTCCTGGCAGAAAGATCTCCAACAAATCCATGTGTGATTATTTGGTGTGAAACCCATAAACATAGGGGGATGATTGTTTTTCCCATCTCCCCGCCCCCAGAGATCTTTACACTTTTCCTTTATTGTCCCCAGACTCCTGGATGAAACTCAGCAATTTTCTCCTTTTTAAGAGATCTGTAGCCAATGTGTGGTATGCTCTACTTCTTGTTTCTCCAAAGTCACACAAAATCATGCTTTGCTCCTCCAAGATGGGTCAGATGAGAAACTACTCTGACCAGGGTTTCTCCTGTGTCAATGAGCCATTGGCCAAAGAAATGAGAAGGAGCAACAAAAAATGCTAATGTGCTATCACTGATGGGAAACATAAAAGCAGAAACCAACTCTATACAATCTCAAGTCAATGCCCCAGGGCTAGGAACTGCACTCTGTTCAAGTGCTGCCAGAAACAAACTCAGACACAAACCTCTGACAACATCTCCTCCCACTCCCACTTCAGCCTTACTGTCCTTCTTGCCTTGCGTACACACTAGGCTACTTCAACCTCAGCAACTTTACACATGGAATGTGATTCCCCGAGAGAAAAGCATGGTTAGCTTCCTCACTTCCTTCAAGTCTTTAGTATGTCATCGTTCCCTGACCACTCTTACAATTGATCACTTCAATACATGTATCTCCTTTCTCTATTTTGCTTTTATCAACAATATTTATTATGTCACAATTAATGCACAGGATAAACTTTACTGACATTATTTCTCTCTTCTCTTGTTGGAATGACCCCTCCAAGAAGACATTCTGTAAGTCAAAGAAAGGAAAGGGATGCAAAGTCCAGTAAGTGGGAAACCGCGGCATACGATAGTTTCTTTAGGGCTTAGTAATTCACATCAGCATAGTGAAGGGTGCAGAGTATTGAACAAAAACTCATTTTACACTTTTTTAGTAAAAAAATGTTTTTAACTTCATTCAACTTTTGTAAACAGTATAAAATTTTGTAGTGCTACTAATAACTGTTAGAGCACACAAGTGGGGGAACGCTGCTAAGAGATTGTGTCCATGTTCCCTTCTCTTATAGAGTAATCCCCCCTTATCTTTGAAGAATATGTTCCGAGAGCCCCAGTGGATGCCTGAAACCACAGACAGTACCAAACCCAATATACTTAATATATACTATACTTTTTCCTGTATATACAACATGATAAAGTTTAATTTATAAGTTGGGCACAGTAAGAGATTAACAACAATAACTTATAATAAAATAAAACAATTATAGCAATACACGGTAATAAAAGTTATGTGAACATGGTCTCTCTTTCTTTCTCTCAAAATATCTTATTGTACTGTACTCACCTATTTTACAACCACAGTAGACTGTGGGTAACTAAAAGCACAGAAAGCAAAACATCAGATAAGGAGGTTTGCTGTATTTTTTTCTTTCTTCCCCACTGTTCTTCAAGATCACCAATGACTTTTTCTAAGCAAATGTAATTATTTTTTTCTGTATCTTTATTCTGCTTGATCTCTGTGCTCTACATCTAGAGGATAGCAAGGTCCTTCCTGAAGTTTCTCCTTCTGTTTACGTGCTACCTCTTCTGTGTCCTCAACTAGTTCTCTGGACACTCTTTCTGTTTCCTTCAGTTGTTTCTTATCTTCCCTTTAGTTGAAAATGTTTAACTGTATGTGGCTTCAAAAGATAAATCCTTGTCTTATTTTTCTTTTCACTTTTCTTGTCCTCCGAGAGACTAATCTTATTTGCAGCTTTCATTTCTACAACGATTCTCATGACTCTAACTCAAACCCAGGATTATATTTCCAAAAATCAACTTGGATAGGGTCAGTTGCTATCTTTTGCAAAAGCACATAGTTTAAAAACAACTACCTTCATCATCTTCAAGTGGATTTTCATCTCAAATGCCCTTATTTACCTGGGATGTACCATTTTCCCTGTCTACAAGGCTCAACATGTTGGAATTATCTCTAATGCCTGATTTTCTTTCCCTATGTCTGTCTCAGTTCTCATAATTTAGTGTTATTTCATCAGGTGCACATTTTCTTAAATGGTTACTTTGTTCTGTGGGTCCTTCCCCATCCTTTAGCCTTTTCTTCTACCTGTGAAAAATCAACACTATCCACCCACTTCCTCACTATGGTCGCTCTGAACCAGTCATTCATCCTCCCTAATTTGTCCTGTATATTCAAGCCACACCTTTCAAAGTATATGCTTCACTCCTTCACTTACCTGCTTATGATCCTTACCATCTCTATTTCCTCCAGTTTTCCAGGTAGCCCTATTACCCCTCCCTTCTCATTGTCATTGATCTTACTAGATCCTCTCCAGAGCCTCCTAGTCTTTTGAAAAAGGCTGCAGATAAAAACTGGAAACAGTATTAAAAATAAAGTCTCAATGAAGTTCATTATAGTATGGAGGAAAAATATAGGAGAAAGGGGAAACAGAGAAACTTACCTCTTAAGGAGTTTGTCGCTCAGTCAATCTATATTACAGTTAACTCTCTCCTAGATGCATTAACAGAATAAAACAGGATAATGTATATAAGACAATAAAAAATTCAGATATCTATTTTGGATTTTGTATTTGAATATGAAGTCTTATAATTCTGAAAACATTTTAAAAATAAAACAATAACTTTGCTTCATATTAAACCAAATTAATTTAAAATAGATCCCAGGCCTAAATGCAACTCCTAAGCCTACAGGTATAAAGCTTCTAGAAGAAAAAAGAGAAAATGTTAGTAATCCCCTTGGGTTAGGGAAAGAACTCTTAGGACACAAAAAGTGTGAACCATCTATTGCCATACCACCCTGAATGTGCCCGATCTTTTCTCTCAAAAATTGTGAATCATATAAGAAAAAATACAAATTGGATTTCATCAAAACTTTCAAAACCTTTTGCTCTTTGAAAGACACTGTAAATAAAATAAAAAGCCACAGATGGGAAAGAAAAAATCGCAAAACAGTATCTGACAAAGTGCTTGTATCTAGAATATATGAAGAACTCTTACAATCCAATCATTAAGAAGATAAACCATCTAAATTATTTTTAAAAGCTTGGCAGGGTGAGGTGAGGGGAGATTTCACAGTTCCTTTGTCAAAGAGATAAACATGGTCAATAAGGACATGAAAAAAATGTTTATTATCATTAAGTCATTAAGAAAATGCAAGTAAAACTACAGTGAGATACAACTACATGACTCTTAGAAGGGCTAAAATTAAAAAGACTGACCATACCTAGTACTGGTGAATGTGGAAGAACTAAACTCTTATACACTGCTGGTGAGAATACAAAAGGGTAGAGCCACTATGGAAAACAGTTTGGCAGTTTCTTACAAAGTTATCCAAACATTTACTATATGACAGCAATCACACTCCTAGGTATTTACAAGAGAGAAAAGAAAACATATGTCCATGAAAAGGCCTGCACATAAATGTTTATAGCAGCTTTTACACAACTGCCAAAAGCTGGGAACATTCCAAATGTCCATCAACTAGTGAAAAGATAAGCAAATAAAAATGGAATATTTCACTGATAAAAAGGAATAAATTACTGATACATGCATGAACAAGGATGAACCTCAAAGCGTTAGGTTAAGTAAAAGAACTCAGACACAAATGGCTAGATAGTACACTATCTATTTATGACATTCTGGAAAAGACAAAGAGAACTCAAATCACTGGTTACCTGGGCTGGCAGCAGGAAAAGGCAATGCCAACAAAAGGGACCAGAAAACTTTTGGGAGAGACAAATGTACTAACTGTCTTAACTGTGATGGTGATTACAGAATTACGTGCATTTGCCAAGACTCACTGAACTTTACACCTAAAAGAAGTAAATTTTGCTGTACATAAATTCTACCTCAATAAACATGACTTTAAAAAATCAAGGCTTCATTTTGTGTGTGTGTGTGTGTGTGTGTGTGTGTGTGTGTGTTTATTGTACTTTAAGTTCTGGGGTACATGTGCAGATCTTTCAGGATTGTTGCATAGGTACACACATGCCATGGTGGTTTGTTGTCTCCATCCCTTCGTTGCCTACATCAGGCATTTCTCCCAGTGTTATCCCTCCCCAACCTCCCTGCTGTCCCTCCTCTAGCACTCCACCCCCAAACAGACTTCAGTGTGTAAAGTTTCCGTCCCTGTACCCATGTGTTCTCGTAGTTCAACACCTGCCTATGAGTGAGAAAATGTGGTGTTTGGTTTTCTGTTCTTGTGTCAGTTTGCTGAGAATGATGGTTTCCAGATTCATCCATGTCCCTACAATGAACATGAACTCACCATTTTTTATGGCTGCATAGTATTCCATGGTATATATGTGCCACATTTTCTTTGTCCAGTCTATCATTGATGGGCATTTGGGTTGGTTCCAGGTCTTTGCTATTTAAAAAGGAGGCTTCATTTTAAAAAACAGAAAAAAGGATGCAAATCTTTTAATTTTTTCATCCCAACCTTATTAACTTTTGTTCCCAACTATCTTCATGCTGAAAATAACTTCTCCATACCAGCTTAATGTCACATTTTTAAATCCTTTGAATAATAAAAACAACACTAAGATTGAATCCAAAAGTCTCCTTTGCAAACAAAATAGAAGTAAAAATTTAAACTGCAAAATTTCAACAACTCTGGGATTCCCGAAGAGGGTATTAATGATAAGGCATTTAGTAGAAAACCAAGAGTGATGTCAATATTCTTATTAACATATCATAAAATCCGAATCGATTTTTTCCCATTTAAAAACAAAACAATAGTTAAAAGCTAAATTTGAACTCCATCTGTAAAAGTAAAGCCACTCAAACTAAATGTGTTATCTGTAAATTCACACCAAAAGAAAACAGTAATTCCAGTCAAACTGAACCACCTGACTTTCCCTGTAGTGGCCTTTCCTTTCCCTCCTCCAAGTCCTCCTCATTGTTTTCTGCACACATGCCATCCTCCCCCATCTCATCACATCTGAATCTTTTCTGTCCTTTAAAGACTTATCTCATATACCGAAATATTCAGGACCCTTTCAACCATTCTCCCTTTATTTCCACAGCCCTTTATTGGCATCTCTCTTTAGATGCCTAATTTCTGTACTGTAGTTATATAAGTAATGCCTTAATTAACCTACTAGCTTCCAGGCTAGTAGGGACAAGAGACAATGTGAATCATCCTCCAATCTCCCACAGCACCTAGCAGAGTGCCTTGAAGTAACAGGTACCCCCCAAAATGTGTTGAATGTCTGAATATTAAACTTACACTTTATTTGGTGCAACCACAGTTATCTGGTGCAATCACAGAAAATTGATCCATTTGAAATGTTACTGACCTCTATTTTATTTCAAGGTAATAGACGTGCGCTAAATATAAGATATATTCTGGTGTCTTTTAGAAGTGATTCGTATTTTTTTTGAAAACTATCAACTAAAATATACATAAATGCAACTCAAAGAGTTCTCAAAGGCCAAAACTAAAACACTTTAAGCAACAAAATAAAGTGGTGTGAGATTATAATAAAAAATAAAATATATGTATATAACCATGAGTCTATCCTGACAAAATATATCATAAAATAAATAAATGTGGGAGAAAAGACAAATCTCTGACACAGAGACATTTCAAGGAAGTTACATAGATAATCATCCCTCAAGGAGATGGAACACCACTCCCCACTCACTTGTGGACTGTGCATGGTGACTTCCTTCCAAAGAACACAGCATGGAAACCACAGGGGAATAACTTTCTGGTAAAAACGTGACAAACACTACATCTCAGCCAGGTGATCAAGCTTAATATAAATAATGATAAGTTATATTGATAGCATGTACCCTTGGTATAATGTGATGAGAAGGGCACTTTTCCTCCTCAAAACACATAAACTCAGTCTAATCCTGAGAAAAACATCAGAAAATCTCATCAGGAGACATTCTACAAAATTTCTAACCAGTGCTCCTCAAAACTGGCAAGATCATCAAAAACAAGCAAAGTCTGAGAAACAGCCACAGCCAAGAGGGGCCTCAGGAGATACACAACCACATGTAATGTGCTAACCTAGATACAGGACTCTGGAATAGAAAAAGGAAGTTAGAAAAAATTAAGCAAATCTGAATAAAGTATAGTTAATAATAATATATCATTATTGGTTCAATTAATTGTACTCACATATGATGTTAACAATAGGGGAACCTGGGTGGGGAGCATACGAGAACTCTGTACTATCTTTGTCATTTTTCTATAAAACTAAATCCATCTAAATATTTTATTTTAAAATACAGAGAAATTAAAAATGTTAAAAAGTTATCATGAAGCAAAAACTTTACTTGGCCATAGAGATTTTAGTTATATGAGATTCACCCTATAGAGAAAGACATCCCTAGGCATATTTTTGTCCAGGGTTTAAGAGTTGCAGATGAAGTTTCTAATACAAGTAAAATTCATGTTTTTAATATTTGTTCTAAGACTGTTGTTTTCAAATGTAACATTTTTAATAATTGCTTTAATATTGCATGTGATTTCCTTTATCTCAGATTCACAAAAAGGAAATGCAATTTTATACTGAAAGCTATTGAAAACTGTATGACTTTATTTACAGGAATTCACGCTGTGGTCAGCTTTACCTAAAATAAAATGAAACTGAAGACCTGAAACGATGACTGATTTTTCTTAAGTTCTTCTCTCTTCCAAATGAAGGGACATTATATTTCACTATTAGAAAGAAAAATTTTTATGTTGTTAATTTTCACATCTATCTTTCCAAAAGAAGTTGGAAAAAAAAAATTGACACTGCTAAGATCTTAGTCATCTTCCATTGCTAAAATTATATGCTTTTCTTTTCATCTTAGTGAGCTTCTCTTCTTTGCATAAATTATCACTGTGTTGGAGAAAATGTAGTAGGAAGAACTGGGAAAGGATTCTTTTGTTTGTTTAGTTAGGCGTTTTTTTATGATGGGAAATAACAGAGCATGTTGGGATGCTGTAGGAGTGGTTTCCTAGATGCTCACAACTCATCCCCGTCTAGCTAACTGATCTGGAACAAATTACAAATCTAGGTCTCAGATTTCTCACTTCTAAAATGAAAAGATTATAATGCATAATCACTTATCTCTAAATTCATTCCAGCTACAAAGTCCGAGTATAGTAAGTACAGTGAGTCTAATTCCCTAGTAACCCCACAGCCTCTCGAGTAGACTCTTCGAAATTAATGGAAATGGGGATGGGAGTTAATGTCTCTGCAATAGAAATTGTGCTTCAGTAGATATGACTCTTTGGGGCCAGCAGACCTAACTCAGCATTGGTTTCAAAATTGGTTTCTTATTCCCTTGACTCTGGGAATAGTCTTCAATAAGGTAGAGAGCAGTTTCCTTTTTCACAGCACAAAGAAGTCAGCATTCAGACAGATTCAAAGAGAAGGAAAAGGATGGAGAAGAAGGCTTCAGGTGTGCAAGAACAGAATATTTTAGGAATACTATGCTTAAGATGTTAACCTTAATATTAATATTGTTTGGGAACTCACCCAACTGTCATAGAGCAGACATTATGATACAGGACTTGAGGTGAGAGATATCAGTTTTTCCACTTAAATAGGCACAGATGAATAGTGAGGGTCAATCCGTAAATATATCATGCCACCAAATCCCTTCCATGCCCACCACTTCCCTAGCATACATCATTTTTATTACTTTAGTTATTTATATATTTGAGAAAAGAAGAGGAGGAAGCAAAAAGATGTTCAAAGAGAAATATCCAAATTTTCACTCAGTGATTATATTCCGCCAGTCCCCATATGGATTCCCCATTGCCAGACCAGCTTCACAGCCTTGTGATCTATGGAGTCACACAGGGCCACACTCTCAGAGGGGACTCAGTTTGGCTTAACACTTTGTTGCCACCATGTTGAACTCTACATATTTTAACAAGGGGGCCAGTATTTTCCTTTTGCATTTGTGCACAGCAAATTATGCAACTGGTCTTGTTCATTGCCTTTTAAGATATCTTATTTTGATTTTCAGAAATCTTCACCTAAACTTCTTATTCATACATTGAGCAAAGAAATTTTATCAAGCCCACATACTAAATGTCAGGATCTATTCACTGCAGTCTCTATTCCTATATAAGGATGGCTGATCATTATGAAAAAATTACTCAAGCTTGTATCCTTGAGTCAGTCAATTGCATTCATGATTTCTATTCCCTGACAAGTGCTCAGCACTGTCCATAATTCCATATTTCCCAATGTCCTGTGATTTCCATTCCCAGTGACAGCTATTTCAGCAGTGTCCTTAAACTCCATCAACTTCCTTTCCTCCTCAAGTGAGATCTCTGCTTTTTTTTTCATGGTGCCATGGAGGCCTCTCAGACTCAACATTCTAGCAGTCCTCACTTTTCATCCAAGCCTGGTCCTCATCCAGTCTTCCTGGTGTTGGTCAAGGTCATCACTTTCCTCCCCACTTGTCCAAACCAGACACTTGGCCATCCTTCTTCACCCTTCCTTACATCAAATCCATTTCCAAGTTTCACCATCTTAATATTGATTTTGAGTCTGTTCACTTGTGTTTACTTTGCAATTGTGGTCACTAATACATCAATAATTATTCTCTTGGTTTACTATAAAAAGTTCCTGGTTACTCCTCAAGTTTCCAGTCTAAATTTTCTTTTTGATCACCAAATTCATTTTCATGCTGTAGTCAGAAAGACTTTATAATAAAACTCTGATCATGTTCTGTGATACACTGCAAACTTTTTTTAATTGCCACAAATTCTTTCCACTCCTGTATGTATGTCCATATGCAATGTGGTTTTGGCAATCCTCTCTTCAAGAGGTGGATGGAGTCTATTTTTTTCTCCTCCCGGATTGTGGGCAGCCTTTTGACTTGCTCTGACCAATAAAATGTGGCAGAAGTTTGACAGTGGAAGCATTTTGAACTCAGGCTCCAGAGATCTGGCAAGTTCTCCACTTTCCCCAGCCCCTTGCTCCCCTAAAGACAGAGGCCCTGATGACAACCAGCACCAAATTCCAGACATTGGAGAGAGATCATCTTAGATTATCCAGCCATAGCTGAACGACCAAACAACTGCAGCCAGATGAGTGGCCCCCTGTGAAACCAGTGGATGAATTACTCAGCTGATCCCAGCCAAATTGCTGACCAACAAAATCATGCACAAATAAAATTGTTGTTGTTTTTAGCCATTGTGTCTTGGGATGGTTTGTTATGGGACAGTAGATAACTGTGTGCAGAATTCCATGGGCATAAATGGAGGCATGATCTCTGTGTTACCGCAGACACTAACCATCCTTAGCAAGTACAGTAAAATTATGCATATTGAATAGACAAAAACAACACAAGCCCTCAGTTCTGCTGTCATGTAGCTGTTCACTGTGATAACTCTTCCAGGTCCGCCAAGAACAAGCCTGTGCTGACAGTCACCCTTTTCCAATACAGAAGGTCATTGGGACATGCATGTTACTTAAGTCACTTAGGATGCTCTGCATTGGTGGCTGAAGAAATTCATCTCTGCCTAACCAAAGCACTAGATAAAAGGCTTTACTTGATCACTGATTTGCATGGTTTTCCCATTTCAACGCCAGTCTATAGCATCATGGATTAGGATACTAAGAGTTATCTTTCACCGCCTACTCTATTTGATCTCTAAAATCCAATTACTGCTTGTTTCAAGATGTCTCTGATGTATCCTTTTATCTCAATCCCCAATGCCATCCCCTCCCCTGAGGCTAGGTTCCCAGCTGTGTTATAGCAGCAGTCCCATTGGCTAGGCTCCAGGCTCTACACTTGTGTCTTTCAAACATTTTGAGTATAGAATTCTGACTAATCTTCCAAACAAACTTCCTTTAATTTCTTCCCCAGGCAAAAGCCTGTAATAATTCCTAATTTCCCATTTTATTGAGCCAATACATTCTATTATCAAGGACTCCTATAATTCTTCCCTCGTAAGTCTATCAAAACAGTATTCCTTCACTACACCAGTCAATTTTCTCAGATAACTACAAAGTGTTCAGTTACATCTACCCCGCTCCTATAGTCACAAACATCTATGCTTTACTCTCTGCTAATACATCCTTGGGGAACATACTCAAGCCCTATCTCTTCAACTCCCTGAACCTTAAATCAGAGACATGATGCTAATTCTTGCTCTGCTCCAAGGAAAAATTTGAAGCCAGATGAATGACTTCAGTTTCTGCCTCTGTATTGTAAGGCGATTGAACCTTCCAGGTGTCACATTTGAGAATTTAATAATTCTTCCAAGTCTCTCATCCATTCAAGCCCTTTCCACCCTGGTCAAGCACTTGTGCTCTAAATGTTCCATTTCTGATCATTTGCCTTCACTTTCCAACCAAACACTTTTTGAGTGTGGGCACCATGTCATATCCCACTCAGATAACCTACAACACTTGGCATATAATTATCTGTCAGAAGTCTCCAACCTGCAAACTGGTTGGTTATAAGCGGATACCACACTGTGCAGCCTAGATAGCATGACTGGTGTTCAGCTTTAGTTCTATATAATAAGTACGGCATAATATATCATAATAATGGTGTCTCTGAGAAAGGGACAGAAATGGAGACACTCCAAAGGACTCATTATGACTAGTTTAAAAATTGATAAAGTATCATGTCTGTCTTCATTAAATCTTCAAATGTGTGAGAGGCCCGCCTCCAATATTGTTTTAAATGCTGTGACATTTGTCTAACACTTTTAAAAACACTCCTACTGAGAAATATATATATATTATGGTGAATTAGTTCCATGATAACAAAAGGTACAACACAAATAATATGAATGTTTTGTGAAAATGACTGCATCACAAACAAATAGCAACTTACCTGAAGAATATCACCACGGTCCAAGTATTACATAAACTACATTTTCCCCACTAGCATGCCCAAGGGGTTCAATCTGAAATAGGGGAGTTAAAGTGGATGAGGTTAGTGTTCTTAGAATAATATGTTAAAGCTGATAGGGACCACAGAACTACTGGAAAGGTGTATGTAAGGGTTGTTTATGCCTAAAAACTAAAAAACGATGCCAAATTTTTAGAAGTTTCTCTTTCTTCCCTCTTCTCCATTCTTAATATATCCATCTACAAGAATGTTTCATCAGTAGTGGGTACTAACTATCTTCTAATAATGCTAATGAAATACATCTATCCAAAGTAAAAAGAAATCTTTTCACTTGCTTCAACTATTTTTTTTTAAGAGAATTAAATCGTTTATTGATTACACATGATAATGGATGATACACAAGCTTCATTCCCATCTATAATTTTATCTGGTACCATTATTCAATTTAGATATATTGCATAGGATGTGCCAACAATCATCTTTATAACCAATAATTCCATGATTTTTGCTTGGGTAATTCCTTTTAATCGTGAACTTCAGGTCACAACAGTAACTATTAGTTCAACTACACCAAGGTATCTGAAGACATTGGCTTCTCCACCCAAGAATGTTGTATATAAATTCCAAATAGAACCTGGCATCACCCTGAAGAAATTCTAACTTCACACTGTTGGGGAAATTTACCAAGATGGCTTCAGAGTAGACTAACTTTACACAGCACATTAAAAAAAAGACATTTATTCAGTGTCACGATCAGACTATTACATTTAGCAATCAACAGCATGGGTGCAAAAAAAAAAAAGAAAAAGAAAAAATCTACATTAAAACCCTTTGTTAAAATGCTTTACACTTTCCACAGAACAGAAACTAAAATAACCTGTTATACAATTAGTCACAAATACAGTCCTCGAGTTTTTTGCCCATACACATGAGTATTTGTCTAAATCATGTCTTCTTTGTAGCAGCTAGGCCCTGCCACCACTGTGCTTGGCTGAGTTCACAAATCTGTTGTAACCTGTAGCTTCCCTGTCACTTCTCTGGCTCTCCTCTCCTGCTAAGCTTTGTTTCCTAATTAAAATCTTCTGCCACTGCCATAGCTACTGCTGCTACTGGAACCGCCATAGCCATCTTGGTTTCGTGGTTTGGCAAAGTATTGGCCGCCACCACCATAGGGGCCAGAGCTTCTGCCTCCAAAGTTTCCTCCCTTCATGGGTCCAAAATTTGAAGACTGATTGTTGTAACTGCCAAAATCATTGTAGCTTCCACCACCTCCAAAATTGCCTCCATCATTACCAAATCCATTATAGCCATCCCCACTGCCACCATATCCACCACCACCACGGCTGCCGCCAAAGCCACCACGACCACTGAAATTTCCTCCACGACCAAAGTTGTCATTCCCACCGAAACCACCTCCATGACCACCACCAAAGTTTCCAGAACCACTTTGACCTCTTTGGCTGGATGAAGCACTAGCCATCTCTTGCTTTGACAGGGCTTTCCTAACTTCACAGTTGTGGCCATTCACAGTATGGTATTTCTGAATGACAATCTTATCCACGGAGTCATGGTCGTCAAAGGTTACAAAGGCAAAGCCCCTTTTCTTGCCACTGCCTCTGTCCGTCATGATTTCAATCACTTCAATTTTTCCATACTGTTCAAAATAATCTCTTAGGTGATGTTCTTCAGTGTCTTCTTTAATGCCACCAGCGAATATTTTTTTCACAGTTAAGTGGGCACCTGGTCTTTGAGAATCTTCTCTTGAGACAGCTCTCTTTGGTTCCACAACTCTTCCATCCACTTTGTGTGGCCTTGCATTCATGGCTGCATCCACCTCCTCCACAGTTGCATATGTGATGAACCCAAAGCCCCTGGAGCGCTTGGTGTTTGGATCTCTCATGACCACACAGTCTGTGAGCGTTCCCCATTGCTCAAAATGGCTCCTGAGGCTCTCATCGGTTGTTTCAAAGCTCAACCCTCCAATGAAGAGCTTCCTCAGCTGTTCCGGCTCTTTAGGAGACTCTGACTTAGACATGATCGCGGGGAGAAGAGAGACTTTAACGATGCTGCTTCGGCGGCGTCCACGGGCAGAAAGGAGCAAACTCTGCTTCAACTATTGATTTCTGTATCAATATCTTAGTACTGTTTATTCACCTTAGGCAGAAGATGCATCCAAATGGTCACAACATAAACATGCTTCATATTTTGGCTCTGAAAATATCAGGTAAAAATTTATTTATCTACTATATAATATATATGGATAAATGGATAAAAAGATTTCTTAAAATGTAAAATAACAAATATACTATATATTTTAATATATTCATTCTAGGATTAAAATTATATTTATTCAAATCCAGTACTAGGAAGCACCAAAACTTAGTTTCACATTGTAAAAATCATATTATAAATTTATATACATGAAAGTTTAAAACCATTGTCTCTCAGGATAAGAGAAAAGATAGTGAAGAACAGCAACTCCACTGATCTTGTTTGAAACTACCCGTTCAATTTAAAAAGCTGAAATTGTTTCAAACGACTTTAAGTCTATTCTGACAGTCTTCATCAAGCACTATTGTTACAAAGCAAAACTGAAATTCTTTGTCATGGCATGTGAATTGGAGTGTCCTCAAAGCTCCCAAGTTAAGACAAAGTCAGTAAAGGTCAATCAACCCAGGATGTCAGGATGTATACTATGTGGCCTAATAATATAAATCTGGACAGTATACTACTGGGACTGATCCCATTAGCCACACATCCTCAGCTAGCTCTATGGGGGCAGTAGCAGAGCATGCAGTTTTGGGATAAGGTTTTCTTAAATAAATTATTAAAAATAATTGTTCATTATTATTCTTCTTATTAAAAATATTCAAAGATTTCAGTAAAGTCTTATATCTAGACCCCCAAGCATAAGACACTTAGCTTACACAGAAAGGCATATTTAAAATATCCCTATCTAAAGCAATGTGGCATTAACAATAATAATAACAATAACAAAGATGTACATACTTTGCCAATCTACAAAATGCTTTGGATATACATAAAGGATTATATATGTATATAAAATAACTGATCATTCAATCTCATAATAACCCTGTCAAGGTAGGAATTATTATGCCCATTTTTAAGTGTTAAGAGACATGCTAAGACAAACTGAGAGACTTATGCAGCAACCAAGTGCTAGAGATAAAGTTCATCCTTTGATTATCAAAGTCTAACACTTCTTCCACTTAAAGAAACCAGATTCTGATAATGACCACTTATGAGGCAACATATGAATTGTTACTATGTTAGTTTGGGCTAGTGCTGGAAGATTTTAAAAGCGAAGTGTAAAGTAATAATAAGGCCCATTGACTTTTTTATGCATTTTTAAAAATTTGATCTTATATCAATTTGCCATTAACTATTCTACAAAAAAAGGCTCACTACAGTCCAGTCTCTCTCTTACTATAATGATCTTAGAAAACAAAATTAAAAGGGAACTTAACATAGAGTACTTTATTTAATGAGCAGGGCTTACATAAGTGTGCAGAAATAATACCCTGGAGCTATTTTATACAAGATCCACAAAAGATCTACCACAGATGAGTGACAGAAACATAATTAGTATGAGCTCAAGCAGTTGCCAAGTTGCCATTATTTAGAAGAGCACTCACTACTTGAAGTTGAGCTTTTGCTACCCACTGAATATCACAGTCAGCAGAAACTGAGAATGGTGACCCAAGAGCAGATGATTCCTACTGTAAATTCCAGGGGATTTCATTTGCTGCTAACAGCTAATACTAAACATTGCTGATAAGTCCCTAATGAGCAGCCAACTTGGCTTGCCTAGGACCCATCAATGTGAAAAAAGGACAAAAAAAAATGTTACTGTCTTGGGAAATGCAGAAGCACCGAGTCCAGTATGGATTTGCTTGCCCCTTATTCCACACCCCAGATCACGGCCTACTTGCAGGTTTAATGTAGCATTGGGAAGGCCCCAGGGATTAGTCCTAATGTGGCCACTGGATGCAGTCCAAGCCTACATGAGGCAACATTCAGACCACCACCAGTTTACATTGGTTCTAGAGTCCATTCAAGACATCAGGCCTATTTTTCTTCTCCTAGATTGGTTCTTGAAGCAACTGTAACTTTTCCAGAAATATTCCAGGGATGGAAAGACAGGAGATTCCACAGATCCTATTCTCCTGGCAACCCTGTGTTGGTAGCAATATGCCTGATAGCTTGAACCAGTTACACGTGGAAGGAAAATAATCCTGCAGTTTCATCACAAGAGGATTTTTTGTTGTTGATGTTTAGGGTGGTATAAATTTGGAGGGAAAATTGTGGGGAAGACACAGGATAGCTTGGAGCCTTTTCCTTTTGAAAATGCTCACTAGAAACTATCCATTTTAGCCTCAAAAGTGCTACTGTGAGTCTTTAAAAAGAACCTCTTGGAAGATTCTTTTTAGAAAGAACCCAGGACAGCAGCAAAGAATCCAATGCTGATGAATTCAAGCGTTAAGCAAATATTAACTACCAGTCATGGTACAGGCACTGATTCCACAGAATCATTTTCACACAATAGCTTGGAACTAAAGTTGTTCTCTAAAAATAAAAGTTCCTGAACAAAGAATATTTGTAGTTCAACCCTAAAGTATTGATTTATGAAATGAGTTCCATGCCATTCAAAAGGAATGGGACATCAATCAGGCTACTTTCCCTTCCACCCTTGCTGATGAACTAGATAGGACACGTCTTCAAATTTATAAAGTGCTTACAGCAATCAGTTATCTGAGCCTTTCTTTAAGTTAGCATTTGTGTGGGAAACAATGGTACATGGTGAATTACTATTTTTTTCCTGCATTCAGCATGAAACAGTAAATATTTGGCATGCCGTTTGCCCCAAGGATCAAAATGGCACAAAAGAAGTATGAATGATGATACCAGACTATGCTGACTCCCTGAGGCTGACTTAGAAACATCTTGAGGAGAAAACATTAATGCATAGGGTAGAGAAGAACTCTTACAGCAAACCAATTCCAAGACTAAGGTGTGGGAAACAGCAAAGGTTGAGTTGAATTTTCAAGTAGAACTCACTGACTAAGAAAACTAGAGAGTGGGTGCATGTTTGGGAAGTGTGTTGTATCTCAAAAGCAGGTGATCATTCAAATTTAATAGAGTTTGTTTTGAAATAAAATCATCCCCAGGGAATTGATTTTGTAAATCATCTTCCAAGAGGATACATACCAATTTATTTAGCAAATAACTGGATTTCTTAGCTGTTCATAGCACTATAAGAGACACTGGTTATTTATGAGAAACCATCCCAAATACAAGGATTGACCACTATAGTCCTTGCCATTAAGGAACTTTTAGTTTAGTAAAGAAGTGTGGGGTGAGGTAGGGGTGAGGTCATAAAAAAAAATTTAGCAAGTGTGGTATGAGTATTTCCTGCTGGAAAAACGAAGACTTTTCATTTAGTCTGGTCTTTGATGGTTGCAGTCCAAAGTAGAGAAAAGACGTGTATTTAGAAAACTCTGTTTAGAGAACAGCTGCTTTCAGAATGAGTGAAAAGAAGAAAGAAATTAAAAAGACATCAGGTCTTTTGCAGGAATATGGATGGAACTCGAGGCCATTATCCTTAACAATGTAATGCAGAAACAGAAAATCAAACACTGCATGTTTTCACTTACACATGGGAGCTAAATGATGAGAACTCATGGACACAAAAAGGAAAACAATAGGTACTGGAGCCTACTTGAGGGTAAAGAGTAGGAAGAGGGAGATGGGCAGAAAAAATAACTATTGGGTACCAGGCTTATTACCTGGGTGACAAAATAATCTGTACAACAGAACATCATGACACGAGTTTACCTATATAACAAACCTGCACATTTACCCCTGAACCTAAAATAAAAGTTTAAAAATATACATCTCTTGAGGATCGACCAAGACTGGTTCCTAAGTGTTAGTCCCTTTTCAGCCTGCTGATAAAGATATATCTGAGGGTAATTTATAAGGAAAAAGAGGTTTCATAAACTCACAGTTCCATGTGGCTGTGAAGCCTCACAATCATGGCAGAAGGCAAAAGGCACATCTACGTGGCAACACGTAGGGAAGAGAGAATGAGAGCCAAGCAAAAGGGGTTTCCCCTTATAAAACCATCAGATGTCATAAGACTTATTCACTACCACAAGAACAGTATGGGGGAACCACCCCCATGATTCAATTATCTTTTGCTGGGTCCCACCCACAACATGTAGGAATTATGGGAGTACAATTCAAGACGAGATTTGGGTGGGGACACAGCCAACCATATCACTAAGCCCGTCCCATCTACCTAATTCTCATCTACCTGCCAGCCCACACAGGTGAGCCTCAGAGGATGGCTAGTGCCCAGCGCACTGAGGATGGCCTCTGGCTTGTTCTTAGTCTTTTTTATTGTGTCTGTGCTTCTGACACTTGCTCTATAACACCTGTTTACATCTCCATTTCTGTTTCCTTCAAATTTAGTGTCTCTGAATCTCCTTGAGAAGATGGCAGCTCTCTCCTTCAGCTTTCAGTTAACCTCAAACTTCTGCTCCCAGAGTTCTCCACAGCTCCTGAGAAATCCAAAGCTCCTTCCTGTCATGACCACACCAACCCCCAAGAAGATTCTGATTACAACTGGGGTTTAAAGAGTTATAGAAGTGACAAGTGCAAGCGTGGGTTTCAAAATCTGAATACCACAATTTATTCCCAGTGTACACTTTCTGTATATACCAATTCTTGTTTTTAGTATGTTCCTATGGTTCATGTGTCCTAGTATCCTCTGTGGATTTCTTAACCATGTAGAGCCCACCATTTCTCACAGGCCATCAAGAGCCCCATTTAATTCTCATGAAGAATTACTCCCAAACACCTACAATCCATGAAGAGAACAACGTTTCCTCAATTGTGAGAGCCTTCAAAGTACATTATATATTTTGAGATCTTTAGAGTAGTAGGTTATATATACTAAGTGCTCACTATGTGCTGTGTTTTATATACAATATCTTATTTTATCCTGATTATGTGCCTCCAAAGTAAGTATTACTATACCCATTTCACAAGTAAGGAAAATGAAACTCAGAGGTCAACTAACTTGCCTGAGATAAC